TAAACATAAATAACAGATATATTCCATAAAATATAAAAACGGCCTCCCATAAAGTACCCCCCAGATGTTCCGACTTTGTCCAAAATCCAATCATTTACTTAAGGCCGAAATAAAACTTAAGTTTAAAATTTAATGTTTTTTTTATCCGTTTTTGAGTTTCTTCAAAATTCGAAATTTACACATTTTCTCAAATATCTCTAGTACGGTCCATTTTAGAGAAATTATGTATAGGATAAAAATTATAGAGAATTATATTACCAACAACTTTTATTTGAACACTTTTTATAAAAAAATGTTTTTTTCATTTTGTCAAATTTCTCGAATACGGACCATTTTAGGAAAATTTTGTATAAAACAAAAATTATAGATAATAATATTAGAAGTAATTTTTATTTGAAGAATTTTCTTCTCCAAACGTAAATAGCAGATATATTCCAACTCTGCCCAAAATCTAATCAATTCATTGGACGCTGGAATAAAATTTAAGTTTAAAATTTGGTGTTTTTCTGTGTATCGGTTCATGAGTTATGGTGGATACAGACACACACACATACACACACGCACACGCACACGCACACGCACGCACTCACACACACACACACACACACACACACACACACACACACACACACACATCATCGCGAAACTAGTCAAAACGGATTCAGGGGACCTCAAAATGTAAAAATCCGTCGAAAACTCGAGGTCGAAAAAATCATGATTCCTATACTTTCCTTATATCTGTATACAGATAGGAACGTAAAAAACGCAATTTTTGATCAAAAAGCTTAACATTATTACTAACATAAAAATTCAAAATATTGCCTCAAGTAATCACTCTATATTTAATACGTTTTTGACATATACGTTTTCTTAAAAGTGTATTTGTCTGTTTTGAGTATCAACATTCGTTATTTATAAGAGTAAAAAGGAAACATATAAAGTCATTACCAGTCGCTTTTGCAGGTAAAAAGAGCAAAAAGGCGCAGAAAAGTGGAGGGCGCAATAAAATCGCAGCACATAGACAAAAAACGCAAAAGTTGCGCTTTTTGCGTCTAATTGGCAACACTGATTATAAATCTTGAAATTACTTTGTATTTCATTAATTTTTTCGAGTCTCTAGAAGGGGGAGGCAGCTGCTCCTTGGCGACGCCCTTTACGATTTTGTACATCAACGTAATCAGAAATTCCATTATATGTGGCTCTTGTAGAGAAAACCCATTTTCAAAATAGGTTTTAACAATGTAAACACGTTATTCTAGTGTGTACCGACCGATACATTGTTAAAATTGTACTAATATGTAGAATTCAACAAAAATGAATATCACGTAAAAAGTTTGCCAAAAAAATAATAGAAAAGAAAAACATTAGGTAACTTTTATTGGAATACTTTATAGGTATGAAATATAATTGAAACCGTTTTAGCTCTTCTCTGAACCGTTTTGTACCGCCAAAAGTACCACCGGTCGACGTGAAACGCGGTCGGCGATGGCGTTTCTTCCTTCAGCACCGCTCGTGACGCCGAATCAGTCGACAACGGCCTACAGCCTTTTGGCTTACCGCATTACCGCTTACCATCCGAAACGTGACGCTTTCTCCGCTCTGGTCTACCGTCTTGCCGTTTCAACGCTTACCGCCAGTATTGGCCAACCTGTTGGCGTCGAAGGTACTACACTCTCGCGCGAAGTAGGTACCACCGCGCGAAACAACCCATAGATAGGTACCTACAGGTACATTAATTATATTGCCCTATTTTATGCGAGAAAATATGAATATGGACTACGACGTCAAGTTGATCGAGGAGGTGAAGAAGTATCCTGAATTGTACGACAGTTCCCACAGGAACTTTAAGAATAAGGAGATCAAGGCGGCTTTGTGGAAGGACATCGCCTTTAAGATGAGAAAGCAGACGGATGAATACTCGGGTAAGTCATTTATGATGCCGATTGCCGATTTTTTTTTGTTTTGTTGCTGGTTTACGGCGTTTAGCGGGGAGGGGAAAACTGTTTTGTTTTGTAGCTCGGTTCCGTTGTATTATAGAGAGGGGCTATGGGACCTGTGCACTGCGTGTTGCTTGTTGAGTCGTTCTCTTTGTTGTACAACGACGATGGGACCGTGTTTTTAATTTAGTACTGGTTTGGAGATGGGAACACAAGCCTGCGGAACGGTTATTTAAAACTAGCGTCGAAATAACTGGAACATTTACATCACTAAATTTTTACTTTCCTGTTCCTATACTTCTTGGGGTCTCCTGAATCCGTTTTGAGCATTTTCGCGATGATGTATGCCTTTATGTGCGTGAGTGGGTCTGTATCTGATAACTCGTAAACGGATAAAAAGGAAGACACCAAATTTTAGACTTTAATTCATCCTGCAGTGGGTTGATTAGATTTTGGGCATAGTCGGAACATCTAGGGGTACTTTAAAGAGGATATTTTTTCTAATTTAAGATATATTTATTATTACAAAAGAAAATTATTTTAATAAGAGTTGTTTGTAATGCCATTCTCTATCATTTTTGTCCTATACAAAATTTTTCCAAAATGGACCGTAAAAGAAAGATTTGAAGAAAAGGGCAAAATTTGATTTTTTTTAGTATTTTCGTTAGTAAGGAAGATATGAAAAAATGTTTTGAATAATTATTATCATTGATTCTAAATAAGTACTCTTTGATTACATGCATGGACTGTACTCAATGTCTTTAATAACTATACAGGAAAGCCATGTATTGGACATTTTTTTCACATGCATAAAATAGAAATATACATATATAAATGGTCTTTACAAAAAAATACCACACATTCCTTATCCCAAAATAAGCCGTTTTAAATAAACCTATTTCAGTAACAAAAAAGCTAGACGGCTCTGAAGTTACAATTTTTGAATCGTGCCTTCTCTGTAAATTCAAAAAGGCTTATGCGATTCTGCTTAAATTTGGTTTTGTGTGACAAGAAAAGTATCAAAATTATGACTAATAGAAACCATTCAACATATTCGCCATTTTCATACATACAAAGATTTATACGATGAAATTGAAATGTACTTTTGCATCTTCATTATCACTAAAATTGTTTGTTTCATCTTGGATTCGTTGCCACACTTGTTTTTCATTATCTACAGCTGTCTTGTAAACCGTGGACTTAGATCACCCCATAAAAAAAATAATCCATGGTAGTTAGTTAAGCCTGGAGAACGTGGTGACCAATTTACAGGTGTGTCATTACCTCTATATATCCATTTGTATTATATACGGGCCACTTAAAGTTCCCCCCCCCCCCCTTATCTTTCGTTATTCATTGTGATATCAAAATAATTTTTGTTGGTTTGAAAGACTGGAACAAATATTTTCTTATGATGAATTCAATTAATCTTTGACGTCATGGCTTACTTCCGGTTTTTCCGGAAATAACAGAAAATCCTAATTTATTTTTTATTTTTAAATTAAAACCCTTTTATTGTAAATTTGAATTTGTGGGACAATTTTGTATAATAATTGTGTATTGAAAATTTTCTGACAGCTGTCAAAATGGCCGCCATATTGGATAATATTTTTTCTAATCATGTTACTATTCGTTTATGGAAAAAATATAAGAATATTTGATCTTTATAAAATCTTTGTAGGCTTCAAAATTCCCATTGAGACCCATTTACCGAATACCAGTGGCGTTAATTCGTTTATGGAAAAAAATATGGGAATATATAAAATCCGAGATAAAATCTTTGTTAGCTTCACAGTTTCCATTGAGACCCATTTACAGTATACCAGTGACGTATCTAAGATTTTTGTTATTAGCAAACCATTTAATAATTCCACCTGCTCTTATCTTCCTAATTAATTGAGATATCGGATTAAAAACGTTTTTCTTTGAAAGCTTGTAATAAATACTGTCAAATACTTGATTCAACTGGTCTGTGACGGCATGGCTTACTTCCAGTTTTTCGAAAATAACAGTAAATCGCAATTTATTGTTTAATTTTAAATGGCAACCCACTTTTTTATTGAACATTTAAATTTATTGAGCGTATTTGTCATCGAACTGAATTCATACGATTTCAGCGTTTGTAACCAGATAATAAATAAAATAACAAAAAATAGTTAATTATACATATAATAAGTGTATCAAGTGGCTTTCCAAAAAGGCCTTTACATATGAATTGTAAACTGTTTTACTTTACGCATCAGTGCTTAAAGCAAATTTAAAATAAAATGTGTCATTTATCATGTCAAAATACTAAAAATTGTGCCTTGTCTACGCACTAATGTGTAAAAAGTTTTACTTTAGACACTAGTGAAAAACGTAAGACTTTATACACTCCGTAGTGTGCGTAGTAGTAGAAAAATAAATTATTACGACACGCAACAGATCTTTAAATTTAAAAAATATTTATTTTTATCTTAAACTATAAAGAAGCTTAATTTCATCAGAAAGCTTTAAAGAATCAATATAATAAAACAATACATACCATACAATAATAAATTAACATTTATACGCTCAAGAAATTGAAATTTTCAATAAGAAAGTGGGTTTCCATTTAAAAATAAATTGGGATTTACTGTTATTTTCTAAAAACCGGAAGTAAGCCATGACGTCGTAGACCAGCTGAATGAAGTATACAGTAACATATTAAAAAATATATTATTCAATAAGACGGTCATTTTGACAGCTGAGAGAAAATTTTGAACATACGATTCTTATCCACAAACAGGGTTCGAAAATATCATGATATATATAAATATCATATCACATGATATATATCATTAATGAAATTTAATTATTTAACTAAAAAAAGTATTTTCTTGCACAAACTATATTTTAAATTTTAACACAAACGTATTAACAAAAATCTGATGTGTCCAACACATGACTTTCCTATCTAGTTATTATAAACTTTTTCCGGTTATTTTGTACAACCTATTGCAGCATCTCTATAAATGTTTAGAGGATAAACTAAATATATACATTGTTCACAACATCTACCTCGAAAAATTTTTCTATAGATATTCATTGAAAACGAAAATACTGAAAAATTTAAATTTCCTACAATTTTTTCATTACGGTCCATTTTAGAAAAATCATGTATAAACAAAAATTATAGAGATCGATATCGCAAACAACTTTTAGTTCAACAATTTTCATAAAAATCAGAATTTTGCACATTTTGTCAAATTTCTCGAATACGGACCATTTCAGGAAATTTTGACATAAAGCAGAAATTCTAAGGTTTGTTCCAACACAATAGCAAATCGGTTTACGTACTGTCAGGATTTTGCGCAGTCTAGATTTGGTGTTCCAACAAACTTCAAACTCAAAACTGTACAAAAACCTAGTGTTCCAACACACCCAAACCTAATCACAAAACAGTTTCTGTACTGTCAAATCAGTTCCTGGTTGTGAATATGAACGAATTGTCAAGACATGCGCAAAACGAAAGTGAGCTCGTAAATAAACCACGACCAACTCTGGAAATTTCTTGATTATATTTGTTTTGATAGCATCGATCGTAGTCTTAATCCAAGGATTATATTACTACTATCGATCGTAATTTGGTTTTCATTAATTATCATTATTATAGTATATTATTAAATACGTGTATTTGTTGACTTATTAATAATGAGTAATGGAGTAAAGAAAGTAAAAAGGACTATTATTCTGACTTGAATGCTAAAAAACTAAAATAAATAAAGTTTAATGTATAAACCAATCAAATAATCAAAATTTATAAATCTTTTCATGAGTTTTATAATTTTTTTATTTCCCAAATTCAAAATTTTACATTTGTTAAATTTGATTTTACTTTGACGTTATTAACAGAGTGTGTCTGACAACACAAAAATGTGTTCCAACACATCCAAGTTCCGAATCGCGTCCCAATCCTCGACAGGTCGTGAACAGGTCGTCAACTATCAGTCGTCGACAATAAGTTGTGGACTGGTTTATGTATGGTCCCAAGATTGTTGTTGGAACAAACCTATAGATAATAATATTAGAAGTAACTTTTATTTGAACAATTTTTCTCTCCAAACATAAATAACAGATATATTCCATAAAATATAAAAACGGCCTTCCATAAAGTACCCCCAGATGTTCCGACTTTGTCTAAAATCAAATCATTTCACGTCAGGCCGAAATAAAACCTAAGTTTTAAATTTAATGTTTTTTATCCGTTTTTGAAATTTCTTCAAATTTCAAAATTTTTAATTTTCTCAAATTTCTCGAATACGGTTTTAGAGAAATTATGTATATATTAAAAATTATAGAGAATTATATTACAAACAACTTTTATTTGAACAATTTTTATAAAAAAATATTTTTTTACATTTTGTCAAATTTCTCGAATACGGACCATTTTAAGAAAATTTTGTATAGAACAAAAATTATAGATAATAATATAAGAAGTAACTTTTATTTGAAGGAATTTCTTCCCCAAACGTAAATAACAGATATATTCCATAAAACATAAAAATGACCACCTATAAAGTATCCCCCAGATGTTCCGACTCTGCTCAAATCCAATCACTTCATTGGACGCTGGAATTAAGCCTAAGTTTAAAATTTTGTGTTTTTCTGTGTATCGGTTCATGAGTTATGCGACACACAGACACACACACAGACACACACACAGACACACACACAGACACACACGGACACACACACACACACAGACACACACGGACACACACACACACACACAGAGACACACACAGAGACACACACACACACAGAGATATACACACACATACACACACACACACACACACACACACACACACACACACACACACACACACACACACACACACACACACACATACACAGACACAGACACACACACGCACGCACGCACACACGCACGCACGCACGCACGCGCACACACGCACCCACACACACACACACACACATACACAGACACACACACGCACGCA